CCTAACAGTTCTCCCACATAGCCTTCAACAGGTCGCATCTCCGAATCTCCACCACAAAGTTTGTCTCAACGTACATAACACACTGGTCAAATTTTTTAGACAATTATCACGATTATCGTCAAATACGTTGCGGCTAGAACTGAACCCGCCAAGATGAACCTGTCTTGAACCTCGCTCTGATATCACTTGTTATGTCCAAAAAAATCAGGTGTCTTGCGGAAGCTAGCAAAGCAAACCTTGAACGACGATAAATCCAACAACAAAAGAAAATTCTACCAAAAGAGACACAAACATTTAACGTAGTTCGGTCAACTGACCTACGTCCACAGCGGAGATGAACAATCCACTATATAAGAAGAGAGTACAAAATATCGAGAGAACAACCTCACGAAGAGGCAAACACAAGTGACACACTAACACTTGTCCCGTAAAGTTCTCCCCCAAAATACGGCTCTCAAATCCCATGTGGCTACGTTGTGGATGATACTGAATGAGAAGTGCGGATCCTCAATTTATAGAATACCAAACCTTTTCCTACAAGAAAAGGGACTATCCAAATATGGAAGAATTATAGTTTTCTTCTAAGAAAAGATTTAACCAATTATGGTAAATATGTTGTCCTTTCCTTCATGAAATAGGAAAATCAATTATGGTAAGAAAATCTGGACAAACACCTAACAGTTCTCCCCCTTGGCCTGAATTTTCTGACAAAATAAACTTGATCCACCTTCTTCACATAGCCTTCAACAGGTCGCATCTCCGAATCTCCACCACAAAGTTTGTCTCAACGTGCGTAGCACACTGGTCAAATTTTTTAGACAATTATTACGATTATCGTCAAATACGTTGCGGCTAGAACTGAACCCGCCAAGATGAACCTGTCTTGAACCTTGCTCTGATATCACTTGTTATGTCCGAAAAAATCAGGTGTCTTGCGGAAGCTAGAAAAACAAACCTTGAACGACGATAAATCCAACAACAAAAGAGAATTCTACCAAAAGAGACACAAACATTTAACGTGGTTCGGTCAACTGACCTACGTCCACAGCGGAGATGAGCAATCCACTATATAAAAAGAGAGTACAAAATATCGAGAGAACAACCTCACGAAGAGGCAAACACAAGTGACACACTAACACTTGTCCCGTAAAGTTCTCCCCCAAAACACGACTCTCAAATCCCATGTGGCTACGTTGTGGATGATACTGAATGAGAAGGGCGGATCCTCAATTTATAGAACTCCAAACCTTTTTCCTACAAGAAAATGGACTAGCCAAATATGGAAGAATTATATTTTTTCCTTCTAGGAAAAGATTTAACCTAATTATTGTAAATATGTTGTCCTTTCCTTCATGAAATAGGAAAACCAATTATGGTAAGAAAATCTGGACAAACACCTAACAGTTCCTCTACTTGAAGACACATTTGGCCCCTTGGCTGGAGGGGGAGTTTGTTGGGCACATGCCCACGTTGTCCAGCCAAAGGCACAATGGCCTAATCCTATTCTCTTTTGGTTTTCATTTCTATTCGGAATTGGATTCGGTGTTTATTCCTTTTTTGAGTGGGTTTTGGCTTTAAGAGAAAGCACCACTCATGATCTATAAATAGGACAATCTTGGGGAATTATTCTATGCTCATTGATACAAGTCTTTGAAAAAATTAAGCACATAAGAGTGGTTTTTGAGATAGCTTTCATCAAGAGAGAAGAGAGAAGAAAAGTATTTGTTTTGCTGCAGATTTTTATTCCGACTAGCTAACTTCAAATCACGTTTTACGATTTTTTTAACCGTTGGATCGGGCTGAAGTTTTGACTGAGTGTTCGTAACATCTTGGTCTTGGATTTGAACGGTGAAGATCGGATTTGGAGTCCCGTAGCATTTGATTTCGAGCCTCGCCTCTTCTTCAGTTGATTAGTTGTTGCTCCGTGTTTGGCACTTGTAGTGTAACCAATTTGGAGATCTTTTATAACCCTCTTATTGTTATAGTGGAGCTTTTTGGATCTTTGTGATCCCGTGATTTTTACCTTCCATTTGAAGGGTTTTTCACGTTAAAATTTTGGCGTTCTTTATCTTTTTTAATTTTTGAGTTTGCCTCTTCCTCGACATAACTCTATTTTATTCCGATACCAACACCTGTCAAATAAGGATTAGAAGTAAATTGGAGTAGACATGTACCCACTGAAGTCAAATCAAGTCATTTGCCATATGGAAAGAGAATGTCTTTTGCCTGACGTCCCTTCTCTTCTACGTCTCTGAATAGTCTTAAGTATTAAATGATTGCAGAAAATTTGCCGGTTTAGTTGTGGAGAGTGGAGACCGGTTTGAGTAAAATGCCAATATATTATTCTTTTCAATAAGTTGATTAAGCGTCTTGTCCAGGATCAAACTTTTAACTCCTAATATGATTATTTTCTCACACAAAGGAGAAAAAAGAAAGAGTGATTTAATCAAAATTTTAACTTTTAAATAGTAATTTAAGTTTAATACATAATCTTCAATTTATGTGCTGCGAGCAGGCAGTCTATTACCAAGATTATGCACGCTTATCTCCCAAGCCCGTGCCGTAAGGGACACTTCATATAGCTAAAGTAAACTCGCCTCAATGCATTTGCCTGATCTCACCTTTCTTCTAGAAAACCATATAGATATAGGGACAAAGTACAAGTAAAATCTCTTTATGCAATGCTTATACTTTTTCCAATCCTATTCGGTGTCAGATGACACCGCTTCGTTGGAAATTTTTACTAAATAAGTATATATAATAAAACTCCAACAGGAAAAATTAAGCTAAATGTAATAAAGTGACACCACTTGACAATAATAGACGTGTAGCACAATTGGTCAGGTGCTTCAGTTTCCTTTAAAACATCGCTAGTTTGAATATGTGTGGCTTCATGTTTGTTTTAAATTCTGTGCCTCATTTTTTTTGTGCCTCATTTTTGAAATTAAAAAAATGTGCAGGTTGAACCATTAATCTCTTATCTTAAGCATTAAGACATCTAAACCAATAGATCAAGAGTTACATTTGTATATTTAATGCAACAATAAATTATTTGACCTGTATTATAAGTTGTTTGGCTAATTTTTTCCTGTTCATTTTCTTTTTCAACATTGAAATTGATTAGTAACAATTTGCATAATCAAATGAATGATGAGTTTCTGTGTGATTACTTGGTGTTATATATATATATATAAGTATTTAGTATTATTTAAAATAAGGTTATATTGAATATATTTTAAAAAATAAAAATTCATATTTAGTAAGGTATTTGAGTTGTGTTCTATAAAATAATTCGAATTATATATTCTTTAAATGATGTTATAGTGAATTATTATACGTTTATTGTTCAAAATTGTGACACCGCTTATGAAAAATTCTACGTACGCCACTGGATACTTGCACATGCACAAATTAATTCAAATTCACGCTGTTTAAGGCTCATTAAAGGAGAAAAGCGCTCCCCTACTAGGACTTTTTCATTCCTAAGACTTGAACTTCAAACCTTTAGTTAAGGGTGAAAAGAACATATCTATCCCACCATAACCTTGGGTGTTCACAGTTTAGACCTCATTCATGCTACTTGTCATCCATGATAGTATTTACTCCCTCTAGTCCATAATAAGTGACTTTTTTGTCTTTTTATTTTGCTTCAAAATAAGTGTGCTTTTATATAATCAAGAAGGAATTAATTTTATTTTTCCACAAGTTGCCCTTATTTACATATACCAATGTGTCAAGGTAACAATTAATTAAGGGTAATTTAGTGATTACATCTTTTTTCTCTGAGAGTTCGTATTTTCTTAAGGAATATGTCAAATGCTACAAAGTCACTTATTATGGACGGGATGGAATACAATAGATAAGGAACATAATCTGACAATCAAGATTACGCTAGACGTTACTCGCTAGGCAAGATAGAAATCAACATCAGTTACGTTTGACAAATACTGCTAAATCAACATCAGTTGCAGATGCTGCACTTATCTTCTGGTCAAAACTCAACATAATTCACTTGGGTTCACATTCATCTGTGTTTTTTTCCTCGTGTTCAACATCAATAAGATTTGCCAAGAAATGATCAGTCAATCACTAAAGCACAAGTATTGAATTAATTTTTCAAAGAACAGGAAATTGCCAAGCAACGTGTTAAGATCGTACTGAAACTAGAAAACCATTACTTTTGAAATTTTAATTATCAACTAATTTGTAAAATAAAAAAAAGTAGAATTTGACAACTATCTACATCCTGTAGTTGATACAAACAATAAGACAAGGATCAAGCTTCTATGACACACTCCTTGAAAGACAACCAGTAAGCAAAATGAAAAAGAAAAGCTTGGGCACAGCTGCTGCGACAATGAGAAAGAACTTCAAAATACCAAATAGTCATAACTAAACACAGGATCAGAAACACAGGGAACATAGTTTCTTACAAACAAGCTGATACACGAGGTGTTTCTGTAGCCGGTATATAGTCCTCTCTTGCAGATCCACCGCAGCTTTGTGATCAGATGATGCTTATGACAGGTACTTCGTGCATGGAATTTTCTTCAGCAATGATACATTAATCCTCCTTCCCTGTTCAGTGTAAAATTTTATATTTTGTTCAAACAATTAATGCAAGTAATAAGACTAAATGGGACAGAGTCAGGAAAAAAGATTGAGACTATCCTGATGAACACAATGCATAACAAGACAACTGCCCCGGACAACTCTTATCATTGTGAATTTGAATGCACCACCAAATAAGAGGGGTTCTGATAAAAGTGGAGGTGAATAGAGGCAACTCAACAATTGAAGTAATGGGGCAACCATTGCTAGTTCAACAATAAATGGCTGAAACAGCAGAAACGTAACATGAAATTCTACATCAGACCTAATCATTCATATAGGAATGAGAACCTCCACCAATCCATGGTTGCCAACTAGCTAGTATTAAAGTCTAAACTAATAGATTTGAAAATAACTACTAGTACTAATAGCAATTGAAGCATACAATATGATATGAATCACAAAGTCTTGGTTTGATATACCCCAAGACTTCGTTAAAGAATTTATATAAGCATTCTAAGTCTGTTAATAGCCCATCCTAGAAATTAACCAGGGGTAAGCAAGAATGTATTGTCACTACAGAATATATCAAACCAAGATCAAATGGTTTCTTCAAATCAGCACAGAAAACAGCACATCACCAACTAGACAGGGAATGTCTGACCCCCGGTCGGAATGGTTTGTGGTTTCCGAACAGCTATAGTGGCTGAATCTAAAAGATAGCAATTATCTGACCATCCTTCTGATTGCAACCTGATCCAACACCCTGAAATTAGTAAATGAGAAAAAATGAGGATAAGCAACGATATTGCAACCAAAGATAAAAAAAATCAAAGTTGATCACAGAGCACCTGCGTTACAGAAGGGCAACAAACAGCTGCCTCACAGATGTAGTTAAATCATAAATGAATTTGCTTTCCACTTTGTCTGACCTCATAACATCAGTTCATAGGCTATTCAAAGACAAACTTGAGACAAAGTAAGTAGCGAGCATAGAGGTGAAGAAGAAACAGAATGCTGCGGGATGCTCAGGGATATATCTTTCAACTTTTTTCTTCCATACATGCATTTTGCAAAAGAGGAAAGGTGGAAGGAGCAAGACACTACATTTGACCATATGAAGGAAAGAGAAAAGGAATCATAACCTAATGATGATCGTGTCAATTTAGAAGAATCATTGAATTTACAAATGTCTGAATCTTTCTCCATGTACAAATTACAGATTAGAGTGGCACAACAATTACAAGTTTCTGCCTTTAATCCATAAGGGACCTACAATTAGCATTCAGTTGCCATGTCACTGCTAAAATTTTCAAATCAGCTCCCAGTGGCTGCTCGTGCAGCAACTCCCTTGTGGCTTGCGCGTGTATTACTGATGCAAAGAATCAGCTTCATTCCATACCCCGCCTTTTATATCAATAAATTTGTTCTGTTTATTTTCTTTTTTAAGCTGAACCTTCAACTTTTTTCCGTCTAATTGGAAACCATTCATCATTTTGATTGCGGTTTGTGCAGTGTCTGGAGAGTCATAACTTACAAATCCTGCAGAAAGAAGCTCATTCATAAGTGCAAGGGTGGGAATACAAATTTTGGTTGAATTATTAGAAAGTGTAAGGTTCATACCAAAACATTTACTAACACCAGTAGCTTTGTCAACAAAAACTTTGGCACTCACGACCGCACCAAACGGTTGAAATGCATTTGCAAGCTCTTGATCACCAAATTCTTGAGGAATGTGGTAAATAAATAAATTAGCACCAGGTGGACCTGTAACAATGTGATATCTCTTCCATAAGTAAGCAATTTAATTTCATATAAGAAATATCAACTATTCACTGGAAAGTCAAGTGCAAGCAATTCAATTTGCCATGCTTATCAAGGGGGGGGGGGGGGGGGGTAGGGAAGGGAAGGGAGGAGGATTCAAGTACATTCCGCCATTCTGCTGCATAAAGTGGTTAACCTAAATCTATGTGCTACTTACACTGAATCCCTGTATATAGTCCACATCTTATCCTTTTCTTGTATGATAGTTTGAAACTTTTGTTTTATCAAGGATAGTAAGTTTGGAACTTGTCTACGAAACCTTTGTCAAGAAGTTGGAAGACTGTCATGCTAGGGAAAAAGAAGTTAGTTAAATAAAACAAAGATAACAGTACTGGCCAAGGATCTCTACGCTCTTTGCTAATTGCTGTAACTAATGACATATAATTGACAATGTCATAGTACGCACCACATGCATTAATTTAATTGGTATTCCAGTAGGTCCATCCAAAACTAAGCCAAACTAAATATCATCAGTAAGACTGAATAAGTACTTTCTACATCACTCTCAGAAAGGCCTTTACAAGATCTCTGTCATATTGCGGGTCTAATTTCTTCTTCTGTTTCTTATATTAGTTGCTTCCTTTTTAAAAGAATACGTGTAATATCCCCATCTCAGCTATCTTGTAATCATTAATGAGGAACACAAGCTCTGGAAAACAATAAACCAAGAAGGAAAAAGTAGCCTCATTCAGACAGATGCCCTGGGACTGATCCGCTTCAACTTAACGAGTATTACTAAAGCATCTCAAAATAAACTTTTGACAACCTTCAACTTGACCCCCTGTATTTGAGCTCACTCTTGAAGATGCTGCAGAATGCCTGTTTGCGGTATAAGGAGGTAGAGAACCAGTAATGCCTCCAGGATAGCGTATGGGATATTGAAGCCCTTGTACCGGCCTGTAAGCAGATGCCAGGTAACTTCCAGGTGACATGGCATAATTTCTTGGGTTAATTCCAGGTGTTAGACCAGGTGCGACTCCACGTAGACGGTACTGCATGAGCCCATATGTCCCATGAGCCTGCAAAATAGTGTGTTAACTTGAGCTACCCCTTAAATTGATTACCAAAGCCAGAATGAGAAAGAAATGTATTAAAAACGAAATGAAGCACGGGAGGAGCATATGCCAATCCAATATCACATATAGAGCAAGCTAACCAAGGCTTTTGACTTGACACCCAAATTTACTGCTGCATAAAATTCAACCAACCTGATAACCATAGCCATTATACGGTGGCATATAACCCATGGATAGAGCTCCATACAAAGATGGATGCTGTCCAGAGTTGGAAGCGTTGGATGCCTGAGATAAAGCTTTCTGAGCCCTCCTAGCTTGTCTTTCCCTTTCTGTATCTGCCCACTTCACTACCAAAGGGACAGTTGAACCCTGGAAGGACAGTATAATATTTAGTCAATGTGCTTAAATCTTCATTGTGAAAAAAGTTGCAAATAAACTTACACAGCTATAGGGCCCCCTTTTCACAGAAAAACTAAATTCTCAAATTTCAGATTACTAGGAAAAGAGATGCCTAAATATTCAGATCATCACTAAACTCTTATAAGCTTTAAGCAAAGTAATAAGCCAGAACCAAATTTATGGAAAATGACAATGTACATAAAAAGCAAATAAGATAGCAATAACAAGCACTTACTCAGGTATCCTAATGATAAAAACTTCACACAGGGTTAGACAGACAGTACAACTATTTTTTTTTTTTTTTGAAAAGGAACAGACAGTAAAACTATATAATTGAATGCTTTTAAAATATTAACATTTCCATCAGCCTGGGCACTAATTTTCCCCATGTTAGATATTAATTTCAAAACTAATTAGGTATATATAAGTGAACATCCATCTCTCAACCAATTGCTGACGATTCGTAAGTTCCTGTAGAACACATGAGCTCTGAAGGAATCAAAATAATATTTCATAATACGAATGTTTATTTTGCTTCTTACAAGTTACTATTTAAGCTGCAGAATAACACAATAGTATCTCCCGTGATTAATCAAATCGCTCGGTAAATTTTTTTCCCAGTAAACTAGAATCACATCGATTCAGTCAAAGGCTTCAAGGTAGATGACCAAAACGTCTAGAATGTCTGAATGAAGTGCCATGTCGAAATGGCATAGAAAAGAAACAGCAGATAATGTTTCTGGATCCTCTGAACAGAAAGTGGTAGCATTTACGCCATTCTGTTGGCCCTGCTACAAAGAGGAAACATATAATATAAGCTTTCAAATAAACAGACCAGATGCCGACTGCACTAATGGACCCCAACTTACAGCCAAATTGGTGCACCCATGATGAAGACAATAGAGTACTCATGCAAGGAGTGATTACATAAGTACTGCAATGGAGAAGTAACTCAATATTCTAAATATTTCAACTTACCAAAAAATATTCTGAATATTTGACCAGTACTACAGTTCCAGAGAAAGGATAATAACCAGATCAACTATTGAAGAAAAGTTAAATGCAAAACGCAAATTTATATGCAGATGGAAACAAACCTCCATGGTATGCTTTCCATTAAGGGCCTCTATTGCTGCTGTTGCTTGTTCTTTTTTCTCAAACTTCAGAAAAGCATATCCTACCATAAACAAGAAAATTCTGGTGATGAATTAACTTTTCACTTACAAAAAGTTCAAGTGAAAGGTTATTAGACAATGTAGGCTGTACCTCTACTAGTTTGCTGAGAACCTCTGAGAATTTGCAAATCTGTAATGGTCCCATATTGAGAGAATAAGGAGGAGACTTTGGTGTCAGAAACATTCTTTGGCAGCATACCCACAAAAAGCTTGTGCTCTGAATTTCAGGTTAAGAGAAAGAAGAAAAGAAGAAAAAGAAAGAGAATGAGAGAAAAAGTTACCAACTATATACAGTCACATAAACAAAACAGCAATATATAGCAAGGACCCTCTTTTCTTTTACAGTTAAGTATTGCAACAACAGACTGCAAGGTAAAAAAGGAGGGGAAAACAAGGAAAAGTAAACAAGGGGAACAAATATCATAAGACCAGAATTGAAATTATAGTACACCTAGCCTTTCCAACTCGCCATCAGCATACTTCACTTGCAACGGACTAGAAGCCTGAATTGGACACAGAGAACAGGACGTCTTTATCATCATAAGACAAACATGTCATGCCAATATAAAAAGAACAGCAGATCACAAATAAACTTAATAAGCTTAGTATTCAGGTTAGAGGTACTATTGCCTCCATTTTATTTTTTCTGGAGATAAATGTGCAAAATTAAAGCGTAAGATACTGCTAATTCATTCAACCAACCATGACATTTACTAAGAACCAAATTACCATGGAAATGATATTCATCATACTTTTTTGATAAATAAGTAAGTGAAAGGACCTTCATCATACTTATCCCTTTTCTTCTAAACACAAGAGAATAGCATGGAGTGTGAAAAGCGTGAAACCAGATATTGATCACTCCTTTTTTGCAACATCGTGACATCGCGCGACCCAGATTTCTTTTCTTTATTCCCAAGCATATGTGCATCCTTCTCTCCTTTCCCCCTCCCCCCGAAGCATGGGAAGCTATTATCCATAAATAGTGCATTCTTCTTCTATTCCAACTTTCTCACAAGCTTCTATTCTCTTTCGAACAGCCTCTTCACTTTCCTAAACATTCTTGTAGCTACGAAACACTCTCACTAAGTCCATGGCGTATCATGGACCAGGCTCTGCTTATAATGTACATATCTTGTAAAAGAATAGGGAAACTAGATACACTATATTACTACTGCTACTGCTACTCTCTCAGTCATCCATAGGCTCTCCTAGAGAAGCTTTCCCTTTGTTGCGCACACTTATTTTGCACACTCTACTTGTAGTCTATACGGACATACTAAGTTGTCTAGTCAATTAAGACTTCAATGGAGAACTGCTGTGCTTTTCAATTTACCACGATTTGTAAACATTAGAGGATGGGACGTGCAGCTTGAATCTAGAATTCAAGTCTTGGTAAAGACCACTCACCAGTCTCCATTGTCACATCAAGGTGGTACAGTTTGTTAAAAGAACATCCAATCACGGACAGTATTTCGACTTTACTCCAAAACTTTTAACTTTTAGTTGCCAATTCACTTCTTACAATACTGTCATGCTGAAAACAGATAGTCCCTATATTCAGTGGCGAAGCGCCGAAGCCACATAGTGATAAGGGTGGTCAATTGACCACCCTTTGCCGAAAAATTATACTGTGTATGTAGGTAAAAATTACGTTTTAGAGGTATATAACACATATTGAACACCCTTTCTCGGAAATATTTTCACTTCTTTTAAATTTGAACGCCCTTAAAAAAATACCTAGCTTCGCCACTGCCTATATTCCTGGTGTTAGAACACGAAACAATGCCAAAACATTTCTCTTGAAGATAGTCAATAAAGTAACTTTAGCAACTAGCTAAAAAATCTACATTTCTTTACTGTGACTCTGTTGGGGATTTGACCATCCGAAGTTGATTTTAGCAAGAAAGACTAAAACCAGCAAAGAAATTTCAGGAAAAAAAAAGTTTTTTTATAACTGCAGTGTCCGTGCCAGCTTGCATGCACCTCGACTAATTTAACAAGATACCTGCTACCTCCCACTAGCACAAATACCGGGCAACTCTCTCCAACAAGGCTTGGATAGATGGGATTTGAGCTGGTTAATTTTGGAAATGAGAATCAGCTCATTAATTATGGAAATTAATGAACTATAATAAATTAGTTCACGATTGAGGCATAGTTATTATTGTTGCTGTATTGGATAATAAACGGCACAGAGACTCCACCGCATTATAAATTCACAATGTTTCACATATCTTATTTACTTAATCAAATAAATAAAGTATAATGTTTGTCCACATTGATTAGAATATACAAAAAGACTGACCCCAGGAAGCGTCTTCTTATTGTGGCAAGCAGTTACAGCCTTGTCCGCTTCTTCTCTCGAAGGACAAATCACAAAACAACATCCTGAAAAAACAGCAAAGTTATTGTTTGAGCAAACAAAATAACATGCAAACGTTAGAAATACTACTCAAATCGCACATTGCGATCCAGAAACATGTAAATTAAAGGTGAAGACTAGAGCGTGAACCTCGAGAAGCGCGTGTAGCCTTGTCTTTGATGATGTTGACTTCGTCAATAAGTGCGAACTCTTTGAACATCGTCATGAGCTCTTCTTCGGTTATGTCCTTTGGCACTTGACCTACGAACAACTTCACGCTCTCCTCGCTTTTCTCACGCGCCCTCTCTTCTTCCGCCATTAATGTCAACGACACACGTGAAATCACACGCTCTCTCTCTCTCTCTCTCTCTCTCTGAAACAGTGTTCTTCAATGTCTGGCTATTTTCGTCGAGTCCTTTTTTTGGGAAATTAGAGACTTTTTAGATGGCAAAAATGGAGTTTCGTTTCTTTATTTAGTAGTTTGACAGGCGTAAATAACCTTGGTTTGGGGAGTATATTACGAGAATGCCACTGAAATTGTTTTTTTGGCTCCTGTGACAGTTGAGGAGACGTGACGCTTGTAACCGATAAATTCGACAAAAAGACAATAATGTAATGTGGATCTGAAACAGCTTGCAGTTGCATTGACGTAATTGCCCTTTATTAAAAACGTCTGGTTCCTTGTCTCACGTTTCTTTTCAATTGAGCTTAATCCTAGATGGATAATACAACGAAGATGGGCCTGTGTCGACCAAACCGTCAGTACTGAGTCAATAATTATTCAATAAAATAAAAACTGACTATTTTTAGCAAATGTCTAGCATTTATATTGATCATAAAGGGAGCTCTAATGAGAAATTGGTAGATTTTATGCATCTAAATTTTTTGAAAAGAAAGATCCAAATTTACCTTTAACTCCTGACTACTCGCTCCGGTCCACTTTAAGTTATTTTTTGGTATTTTTTTGTGGTTCACAATATTTAATTTTTTCAGGTATCAAGAAGGAATTAATTTTTTCTTTCCAAAGTTGCCCTTGGAGTAAAGCGCCTAAGAGTGGTTTGTTGTATTTCCAATGAGTAAATTAAGGTTAATATGATCAATTTTATTGTTAATTAATGTTAAAAGGTGAATTTCTTAATATGTGTAAAAGAGCCAAAAAAAAATGACTTGAAGTGAACCTGAGGGAGTATCGTTTAAAGTTACCTTCAAGTTAGAACTTTATAATTAGGGGCCAAGGACAAAATGAGAGTCTTTTCTAATACGGGAAGGGGATAATATTAGACTAGAAATCTACAATAACATACCCAGTATTTCTCGCGTGTGGAGCTTGATGAGCGTTTGACCAAAAAGTATAACTTTCGGTTAAAACAATTCAGTTTATATAATAATGGGTTGAACTTAGTTAATAATAATATCTGTAGATGTCATTTTCGGAAAGATGACTAGTGTTGGTCAGATCTGGTGGAGGATCGACAACAACATGCATTAACTATTCCAAAAAGTATGAGCAATAATGTAGCAACAACTAGCAATAAATAACAATTAATGGTGTTTAAATAAATAGAATGAATGATTCACCCAATAAAGTATGAGCTAGTTGATTATCCCTCGTGACAATGATGAGTGACAAACAAATCCCAAAATGTTCGAATTATTCGGGGATCTGATGGAAAGGTGCAGAATAATATGAACAAGAATCTAGATGAAAAGGTGGTGTTTGTATCTTTGCAAGAGAGAAAAAGAATCTTTAATCAAAAGTCTATTCTTGTCAAATGAATGTCACATATCCTACACCCTTGTCTTCTTTTCTATTTATATGAGATATTTTCTTAACAAACCCTAACAGTACAAGTGCAGAGAATATCCACTAGAATATCTATTTAATATCCTATTTCCAAAACTAGCCGTTACAGCTTTGCCAACGGTGCTCGACCTCGACCCTTGTTGACATCTCGGCCACGAATCTCGCTTCTTCTAGGTCGACCTCGACTGATGACGGCTTTAGGACTCTTCCTTTAGCGTTATCTTGTCTTAAATATTCTAGGGCATATTTTGACCTATACAATTAATCCCTCCGCTTATTGAGGTCGTTTTCAGACGGGCTTGATGAGCGGATTCTGTTCCTCGTGGTCGAGATGATTGGACGAGTGGGTCGGGTCGTGATGTTTGAAGCGAGCTGGAAACATGGCCTTTCATGAGTTGCAACTTTTGGGATTACGTCGTTCCTGGATCAAAGTGATGTCATGCTATCATACGTTATTATGGCATGTTTTTTCGATGCGTTGCGTAGTTTCCCGTGTGTCTGTTGGTTGGATTTGTCGCTTCGATAGTGGTTATAAGTAATGATTACCTAATTTCTCGATTTTGATGCTTGAGCTCTTATAAATAGGGATGTGAAGACACACACTCAAGTTTTACAGATTTCCCATATCGAAACTTTGTGCCTTCTTCTTGTTATTCTATTGTTGTGTATCTTCTTTCCATGCCCTAGCGATCCCTGTTGTTTTTACCTCCTCGTTACTTTGAATACCCTCTCTTTCGTTAGAACTATGTCTATCGTATCTTCTGGTCCCAGCGAAGAAAGTTACCCGGTTCGCCTAGCGATGGTTTTGCCTCCTCACGTAGAGGGCGTCTCGGTTGCCGTTGAGGGTGAGAACTTCCTTACGATGGAGGAGATAATTCCTCGTGGTGAGAAAGTCAAGCCTGATTTTACAAAGGCGCCTGAAGCCGAGCCCAAAATCTCCGAGTCGGCGATGAAGGAGGCCGATTTATTAGAGTTTAGGGCTAAATTCGGCATTCCCGCTCGCATCAAGTTGGTCCCTGCTGGGCGGGATATGGTACAAGTCCACTGCCCCGGGTACTGTGCGTTCCACGCTTACCCCTTTCATGTCGGCTACACTCTTCCCCTTCTTCCATTGGCGGAGGAGTTTTGCCGTTTCTATGGCGTTTGCCCAGCTCAACTCGCACCGTATATCTATAAGCTCATAAGGAATGCTTACTAAATTTGCAGAATTGGTCGGGGTTGATATCACACTTCGGCATTTGATGCGTCTCTTCGCCCCTAGTTTTTATAGGGGGCAATGTTAAACCTTCGCCATCGAGGGGGCAAGTGCCTGGTGGTGAAGATGGATGACAAGGCTAACTGTCAGTTCTAGCACAATGTTTTCTTCATTTGAACCGAGGACGTGGTGGACAACACAGACGTCTTCCCTGAAACTTGAATTCGTAAGCGTCTAACCTCTCTTCGTTGAGGCATTTGATTTACTTCGCTTAGTCGTGGGTTCTGATCTATTACTCCTTTCTTATGCAGCCAAGACTACTCCCCTCATTTGGTCGGGAACATTTCAAATTGGGTCGGCCGGCTCTTCCCTCACATTAAGGGAAATCGTGAGTGGCCGGGATTTTTCAAGAAGTTTAGGCCTGCTCCCTCATTAACCGGTAAGTTTCTTTGTTTTGGCCTCTTAGTCTCTTACCTTTTTGTTGTTTACTCTGGTTGACCTTTTTTCTTTTATACTTTTCTTAACTCCAGCCCGAGGGTCTTCGAGGAGGCCGAGAACTCCCCCACCTGCATTCCGTAAGAGGAAAGTTGCTACCTCTTCGGCTTCTGCCCTTCTACGACCACGACTGAGCCTGCTCGCTCCTCAGTCTCACATACCATTGCTTCATCATCAATTTCTTATATATCTATGGATACTTCGGTAGTGGAACCTTCGGCTTCCCCTTTATACTGTCTTGTGGATGAAGAGGAGGACCCATTGCCAAGTGGCGGGGGTTTAGTGCCTCGTAGGAGGAGGTCAGTGGACATTGGCGACGGGGTTGCCCAGGTCGTGGACTCTGTGATGGATGATTTTACCCTTTCGTGAGACAGCAACCATTATCCTTGAAGACGATGTCGAGATGCAATCTGAGATTCCAAGATCAGTGGAGGCTGACGAAGACGTGTCTCGCCCTTTTGCGATAGCGGAGGCCGAAGGGCCGGCCGCTAGGACTACTCATACTACGCGGCAAGAGGGGCCATCGACCTCGCAGCCGGCTAATTATGCTTCTTCGCCAGCTGATGGAGAGGCAAAGGCATTGCCGAAGACAGCTACGAGACGGGTTCAGACCTCGACGCTGCAGAGCTGAGGATGATGGAGGAAGGATTTACTCAGCTCGAGGTGAGGCTGGAGGGGTCTATGCGGACCATTGCGATCCTTGTGGATCTTGATCTTTTGAAGAATACATAGAATGTGGTCCCTGCCCTCAGTCCCCTTTGCTCCGATATGGAGGGTGAAACCCTCAAAGAGCTGGATGGCGTTACCTTATCGAGGAGCATAGCCGGCCTTGCTCTCAGCGTAAGTTTTTCAAGGCTTCTTTTTCCTGTCCATCGTGTTCAAAATTTAGGCTTTGTTTTTAGTGCTTTGCCCTTGTTAGCGGAGGCATTCTTATTTTTTCTTTTCTTCTTTTTCCTTTTTTTTATGACTGTAGACCATTATCTTGGAAATTAAAAGTGCCCGAAGGGAGGAGAAGCGTAAGGCTATATTCACGAAGTTACAATGCAAATACTTCGAGTAATGTGGCAAGTACCGGGAGATCCGCAGGCGGTTTGGTAAGGGTCGATATTTGCAGGCCGTTCTTTGATAAGCTGAAGGAGAAGGATGGCGAGCTGGTGACGATCATCGAGAAATGCAGTGTCCTTGAGGGGACGTTGAGAAAAAGGAGGAAGAGCTCGAGGTTAGCAGGGCCGTAGAGGCTCAATGTGGCGACCTCCAGACGCAAGTGGTCGAGTTGCGCAGGCAATTGGAGGAGTGTCCCATGCAGATGGAGGTTCTTCATGGCGAGATCACCGAGATACAGAACGAGCTGGAGAAGGCGGAGTTCGCTCGGTCGGAGGCTTCGAGGAAGACGGAGGCTCTTGAGGTAGTGATCCAGACTCTCCGTTCTGAGCGAGAGAGTGACTTTGAAACGACAAGGCTTAAAGAAGAGCGCATGATGAGAGGATTGGAGAATTGGAGAAATAGACTTTTGGCCTCTACGATCGAGTTGCTGCTCTTGAGTCGAGAAGGCCCGATTACTGGCACAACCGTCCTCTTCCTATACTTCAGATTTTCCTAATGTTCCTCGAGAGTTGCACGAGGAGTGGATTCATGTCGAGGCCCAGTTAGACATGTTTCGTGATTTGTATGCGGCGGGTTCCGTTTCTGAGGCCGCCCTCAAAGATGCCCGTGTTAAGGCTCGTGAAGCTCGAGTCGTTTGGGGTTATGACCCTGCTATGCCAGAGGCCGGCGAGAACGAGGGGTACGAAGGTATAGACCGGCTCGAGCAGAATTCCTGGTATGACACTGCATATCCTGAGGGCGACGGCGAGGGTGTTGAAGGTCAAGGGGGCGACACAGTTGAGAACCAAGTCGGCGGGGATGTCGAAGGCCGTGATGGTGGTGGCCAGTAGTTTTCTCTTATGATTTTTTGTA